TAATTTCTTTTAGGGTTTAGGGTTGTGGGTTTAGGGTTTAGGGCTCAGAACTTAATTTCTTTTAGGTCATTGGGTTTAGGGTTTAGGGTTGTGCGTTTAGGGCTCAGAACTTAATTTCTTTTAGGGTTTAGGGTTCAGGGTTGTGGGTTTAAGGTTTAGGGCTCAGAACTTAATTTCTTTTAGGTCATTGGGTTTAGGGTTTAGGGTTGTGGGTTTAAGGTTTAGGGCTCAGAACTTAATTTCTTTTAGGGTTTAGGGTTTAGGGTTGTGGGTTTAGGGTTTAGGGCTCAGAACTTAATTTCTATTAGGGTTTAGGGTTTAGGGTTGTGGGTTTAAGGTTTAGGGCTCAGAACTTAATTTCTTTTAGGTTTAAGGGTTTAGGCTTGAGGGCTGACCACCTCGTCAGGCTGTCGGCTTTAAGGGTTTGCTGTTTCGAATCTCCAAGATGTACTGTACCCTTCTGGATCCAAAGGGGTAAGGACACCTTTGAAATACAAATTTACCAGTATTCTTACTACTACTATCATTTATCATTTTTACTACTAGTATTACTACTATTCTTGTCATCAGTACTACTGTTTTTTCTATTATGAGTATGGTTATCATTAATACTACCATCCTTATTCGTGATCTTATTTGCTTCTGAGACAGCTGCAACTCCGCCCTTGGGGCATCGGCCAATTTTGACCTGGGCAAGAGGCATGGCATATATATAGGATGCCCTCCAAATCGAACCGCGAACCGGCCAACCGGCGAACCGAACCATGGGAACCGAATCGTTGAGGAATCAAACCTCAAGTATCGAACGGAGGCGAAGCGTGGAAAACCGAACCATGGGAAGGCACCTATTCAAAACCCTGTAGCCTTGGGGTTTCGTATATGTATATGGACTTAAGACCTGGAATGTAGGCAAGGCCCCCAGATACCAGCCAACCAGCTGGCGATCCCCTGTATTCCCTTATGTTAGGTGGTCACCTTATTTTGTGACACTCTATCACCCTTCAGCTGACCAAGCTACAAGTACAGTCCCCACATATGTCCTTTCAGGGTCTATAGTACTAATTACTATAGCAGTACTATAGTACGCACCAGCTGTGGCATCTGGTTAGCTTGCAAGGCATGCGGAGCCTAGCCTGGCCCGTCTGCACCCGACCGAACCCCTTGATGAGAAAAAACTGGCCGCACTTCATATAAACTCCAAGTATATTTGGTTGGTTGTCTTTTTACCTTCTTATCTGGATGAAACCTAACCATGAGTTTGGTTTTTCATGTTCCCTTTGACTCGCCATTACTGCAGGGGTATTAAATATATCCCTACACCCTGAAACTTGGAAGACACCATTCACCCAGCTGCAATTTTAGCCTACAGCAAGCAAGGCCTGAATGTCTGAACCGCTGTCCTGTAAGAAACATCAGACACTGTCGAACCAAACCGCAGGAATCAAATCGTCACGAATTGCCAGCAGGTTCATGTGAGGTTTGGTTCCTGACGAACCGACCCGAATGAAACCGTAGCCACGCGGAATATAGTAGTTTCCGTTTCATTCTTCAGGCTCTTTTCCATTTGATTCTTCATTAAAACAATACATTCCAATGTAGTCCCAATAGAATCCTCATCTATGTTTGTGGATTGTCAGCTCCGTCTTGGGTTGACCTGATCTTGTCATCCTGAACTTCCTCAATGTTAGGACCTTAGGATCCCAAAAGACCTCCCAAACTATATAGTTTGCGACACATGAAATACTAGGGCAAAAGGATCCCCCCTCGAGGGTTGATCATGGCGATGACATCTTTGGCAACAACTCATGCGTACGCAAGGTACGCTTTGATGCCCGCTCTGAAGCATCCCACAGGGCTGTCAGATGTCCAGCCTGTGGTTGACCAGAACCAGCATACCGACCATAGAAACCAAATACAAGGATGGGAACGTTGCAAGGGCAACGTAAATCCGAAACCTTGCATCCTGAACCCTGACCCTGAGCCCAGAACCACATATCCTACCTAGCTGTTAAACCCATAATCCGAACCACTACACACTAAACCCTAAATCCTTAAGCTGGTGCCCCAAAACCTAAGCATCCTAAAGCTAAACTGGGCCTTGAGGTAGCCGAAGCTGAGGGCTGCGCCACTGTGTGCTCCTCATCTCCCTCGAGCTGCAACTCGCAGTGGACCTCCTCCTCTCATGGCGGACCCAAAGACAAAAAATGAAAAAAACAAGCTTCACGGAAGCTCCCTCAAGGACCCCAGTAGTCAAGTTTCTCTTGAGTCACAGCTGCTTCGGCTGTTCATGGCTGCTCGACAGTTAGGCACTGTAATCTTTTCTTCCAATACTTTTCTTGGCCTGCAACTGCAAAACACCCAAACTGCCAAGCATTGCTCCTCACCATCAAGCTGCAGCGCAAAGGCAAGGCCGTCCATGGCTGCAAGCTACCTGGCATAATTCGTGGTGTCAGTAGTCAGAGAATCATGTAGCCCGGGCAGCAACGCCTCAAAGAAGAACGAAGACCGCCACCGCGGCAAAGCAGTACCACGTCCTCAACCAGGTGCAAGAGCTCGGATACAGGCTTGTGTGTTATCTGGTGCTCTGCAATCCCAACCTGCACCAGGGGAGCCCTCTGCAGCGCACATGGCAATTTGCTGAACATGTTCATGTTTTTCGTGTTTTTCCTGGGTTTGCCTCAGGCTGAACGGCTGAATGACTGTAGGATGCTGTAGGCTTTGAGATATTGTACAGGCGTTGAGAGTTTGGACCCGAGCCCTGTTAGCTGGTGTTTTGGCATCTTTTGCAAACCTTGAGCAGCCCTCAGCTGAGAAAAAAAGCATGCAGGTGCATGCCCAATCTTCCTGCAGCTCTACAATGACTTTACAATACTCTGCCCATCTTTTGCCTTGACTCAACAGGCTTTGCTGAACCCTTCGGCAATCTGGAAGCCAGGGGTTGCCTCACCTTCCAGAACTAACCTGAGCAAGAGGGTATATAATAGGGGTATAATATGGATAATGGAAAATAAAATGGAAACTACCAAAATGGGTTATATAGGGTCTATATTAACAAAGGGAGCAGAACAATTAAATTTGGCAGGCATCAAAAGCATCAAACGACTCAGTCTGGAGACGGCTACCCGCCTTGCAAGCGGTACTGTCACAGCTTGGACCTCCATGGGTGGGGGTCGGTTGAAAGACTCTCAGACGCAAGTGCCATGCCATGTGCACACCTCCGCATGATGGAGAAGAAAAGTGTTGGAAAGAGGGTGCGCAGCAAGCGAGCTACTCGAGCGTCTAGTGCAGCGGGCACCTGGCAAAAAATCTGCCAGCATACTGGCTCCAATTAGTTTTCAGAACTGGGGTGGTGCTGAATTAGAAAAGCTGAGTCAATTTTCATGACTCCAAGATCTTTGCATATCTTTGCTGCTCGAGGAATAAAACATGACAGGCGAGCCATTTCTGCTTTGCGTCGTGCAATTGCTGCCAGAACTTTGGGAGCGAGTTTATCTGGAGCCACGCCTGAAAGAAATGAAGGAATGTCGGTGGATGTCAGTGGGATTTTGTCGTTAAACAAGCAAACCCAAAATTTGCAAGAGCTTCAGGCGGTCTTCAGTTTGCTACTAAGACTGGTTTCAGAGGATGCTTCTGCGCCGTACCGCGTGCCTTTGATCTCGGGCTCGACCTGCACCCCATCACTTTTGGCAGCGTTTCGTGCGTGCTCGGTTGCCTCAGCAAAAACCTCCCCAAACACTCACACCATGTACAAATTCCCTGCGTTGAGGCCCGTGCTATGTATCCAGGGCAAACAGTGGTTACCTTGACTTCTGACTGTTGTGCAGCGAATGCGCATATGATCTCCGAGTGTGGCAACGTCACCAGCAGCCGAGAGTCAGCTATGCCGTTGTCAGCCACCTCTGCCCGCAACGAGTCGTAGAAGCCAACAGCAGCGTGCTGTCAGGGATCATGTTGGGGAGTTGAAATCGCAAGTCATCCTGTAACTGCCAACTCGAAAGAGCAATGCAGGAAGCACTGGTCCTTTGCAGCTGCATAGGCTGTTCGGCCAGGCAAGCCAAAGAAGCCCTGCGTGTGCGTGTTCGTTCCATGCCTAAACCACTTGCAACGTGTTGCAACGGACAAGGGAGCCTGCACCGAGGAGATTTGCACGACATGGCCACTTTGCCTCCCAGGGTATCTGGATGCATCTGGGCTTTCCTACATGCGTTCGTATAAGCAGCCCTGTGCTCCATACACATCAGGATACTGTAGATTGGAGCCCGTGAGCTTGCTGAGCCTCCTCAGCCAGTCTGGCAGCAGGGCTTTCAGCAAGACAACGCCGCTGAAGAAGTCCACGTTCATCACGTGCTGGTCCGTCTATTGCAGGTGGACAGGAGAACACATAAGATTCAAGATGTTCATCTTGCCGCACCACGCCTCGATTGAAGTCTGGTAGCCGAGGCCTCTAAATCCGACCCCGCCATTGTTCACAAGAACATCTACGCGTCCGAATAGACCTGCGCCGTGTTGCGCACACGGAAATGAACGCGCGTCCACGGAACACTACGAGCCAGGGAAGATTCTCTGAAGGCAAGGTCTGTGAACCGGCAAGGTGCCTTTTGCTTCCTCAGCCGCCAACTGCAACCGGGACAGGTCCGACAGATCTAGTGGCAGCACCTTGGAAGCCCATCGCACCTTCCTTACGGCCTTACGGTCCTGATGCAATGTTCGCCTTGGGACCCAGCTTCTGTCTTCAAGTCAGGAGACAGCTTTAAGCATCTTGACCTCTGGCAATGGCGTCAGCTTGCTGCGCCAGAATCGACATTTGCCAGCCTGACCCGTTCCAGCTCATCCTTGCGCCGAGCGCTCAGGATCAGTCCCCCAGGTTTTGCCTTTGCTCCGTGACCACTTGACAGCTAGGGCTGAACCCTCCAATACCTGCCAAGCGTCCGCTTGGCAGAGAGCAACACACAGTGCTTCTCCAAAGCCAGCTGATGCTCCCGTGACCCAAACCACCTGCAACGGGTTCAATGGGCATGGTTCCTGCCTTCCGCCTACTCCAAAGTACAAAGAAGCAGCGCCTTGTCGGAGAAGTATTCCTTTTGCACGGCCGGTTGCACACAAGCAATGACTTGTGCCACTGGCGTGCGCCTCCATCACTGCCATATCCTTGCTGTGACGACCCACCGCGAGCAAGCCCATCCGCGGAGCCACCTCTCGCAATGTCGGAATCTCACACTTCAACAAGTTGGGTCCAAAAGAAGCTGCAGCCTTGTGGAATCCAATTCTTGGCAGCGGCCACCCGCACACCAGAAATTGCAATGGAACGACCTGCGCTGTGGCTCGTAGCTAACATGCATTCGAAATTGTGTACCTGACTTGCTTGCGCCTTTGCCCTCACTCCCCGCGCTGTGTCCTTAAGACAGTCGCAAGAACAATATTTCCAAATGCATTCATTCACAAAACACAAGGGGCACAGGAAAGAAACATCTCAGCCACTCACCCAGGTTCAAAGGTGGCACATGGCGCGAGGCACAGGGATGAACTGAAACTTGAGCTGTACATGATGGGCTACAACACCCGGAGTCCCAGCCAGGCACAACACCGAGTTCAAGGGCAATCGTGACCCATCCAGGGCAAATTGCTAGCCGGATTGATTGCGTGCATAAAATTGGTGCCCACAAACTGCTGCAAACCTTCGCTATTTGAAATGGCGTCTTGAGTCGCCCGAGTTCCTCTTCAGCTCCTTCTGCTTTGAGCATGGAGCAGACTTTGTACGAGGAAGGCGCTGCCAGCTTACTCGACAGCCTTGGCCAACTTGCAAATTCCTCTGCTCAGAACATCTAGAGCTCTTGGATCTCCAGTCTGCCGGTGCTTGCTGCTTGCAGATGCTCTGAGGCTGTTGGCCGGATTCTGCTGGTCTGCCAGCACGGCCTCTGCAACTCTGCATGCAAAAGCCGGAGCATTTCAGAGAGCCGTGCCTCCCGCATAAGCTGCTCCAACATGTCTCCGAGGAGAGCGGCGTTGTGATTCCTCGCAGCTTTTCTTCAACCCACAACTGGACTTCCTCACCTTGCTGATGCACTGCAATCATCTTATTGTCTCAGAACCCCACCGCTCTGGAAAGTGGTCAGCTTCCAGCGTGATTACGCCCGTCTTCTGGTCAGCATGCAGTGTCCAGTGTTCAATCTGACCGCTCCCGCAATTAGACGCCATCCGAGAAAGTTACTGGAAAAGACAGGTCATGCTTCAATTGGAGCAAGTGCAGTGGCAAGCCTCAAAGCAGATAGAGGTTCTTCGGCGCATATGATGCCGCACATCTCTTCGAGAATGGCTATCAGATCCGTATAAAAGGATTTTTTCGTGCTTTCCACACCCCTCATTGCCACTTACCAACCAATAAACAAAAACGAACAAAAAGTAGGTCGAACGGCAGTAGCCCCCCACCCACATCTGCGAGAAGCGAACCGCTACTTGACATGCAAAAGTATTGCACCTCGCAAACCCGATCTTGACCGACGATGTCAACCAAACGCTCCTTTTGCCTGACATAGGCTCTGAAATTGTGGGGCCACCTGAACGGCAAGAAAAGCGAAGAGTGCAAAGCCTGCCTTTGCGTAAGCGGGAGATCGCAGAGGCGAACCTTATGCAATGGAGTCAGGGACTATCTTGGCCCCGTGGCATTGCTTGCGACCCGGCCGGCACTAAGCTTGCGACTGCCACGGTGCAACCAACCATTGAGCCTTCAAACCTTAGGCTGGACAGCATGGCTGACACGGCAGGGCTAGGAAGAGCTTTCTCAGGCACAAGGCTCATTGGGCTCATCGTAGACGGTCGGTGGACCCCAGTAAACCTGCAAGAGCGCAAGAGGCCAACCTTTGTCTTTTCTCAGGATAAGGCTTATGTAAAGACAAGCGAGTGAATGCTAAAGCTTTTGCCCAAACTGTGCTGCGCTCACCATGAGTGGGGCGAACAATCGAGCAAAGGCAGGAAAACATGTCATACGCTTATGTGCTGCTCACCAACCCATCCTTCATGCATTAGGCAAGAAATGCAGGTTTCCTTCGGGGGAAACCCCCCCAATGATTTGTGTGCAAACACATGCGAAGTTATTCCACACATCAAACCAATTCCTGGAAAAACTATACTGCTCCTAGCAGCTTTGTTCCTCTTGAAAATTATTCCGAGCAATGTCTGAGTCCGCGGGATGACACGCATGCATGTAGATCCCAATTTGCTTTGCAAACAGAATAGTAGAGGTATCTGAAAGTCAATCGGGACAATTCCAGAATCAGAATCCTGTTGCAAAAGATGCTACGCCTTTGACGGTGCGTGAAGCTGTAAGGATCGCAAGGCTTTCGTGCTTAGGGAGGTCTAGGTTTGTTGGTGTATGATTTGTAAGTCCGATAACATAAAGCCAGAGTGTTGTCTTGTAGTCTGGCATTGGCGAGTGTTCATACAACTTTTGTGAATTGATGTTTCATAGTGGCTTGCCATTAACATGATGTTCCCTTTTTTGGGGATACATCAGGAGTGCCATGCAGAAAAAAAACAGTTGACAATCCAGGTCACGGCTCAATGCTTCTGGATTCGATATAGCACGCTGGAGCAGGCGTTCCAAAGACCCTGAATCTTGTACACGCGCAACATCTAACCCTGCAATACCACAACCAAAAACTTCTACAAGCCATAACTTGTACAAAGCCTAAGTCCAAGCAATGATTTTGGGAAACCAACCTCTTGGGGGTCACGTTCCACTCAAGCTTCCCCAAAGCTTCCGCGGAGCTTTCGCGAACCTCACCCTCTGGACCCGATTCTTGATGAGTCTTACAAGTTGTAACTGTTTCTCGAGTTTACTGAGGCTTTGCCAGGATGATGATGACATTTCGGTGGGATTGCGACTGATTGCAAAAGAGTGTGCACTGGCTGTCATGAAATTTTCATGGATTTTGAATAGGATCCTGCCGAAGTTTTGCCAGGATTTGCATCGGATCTTTGATAGGAATTTAATGGGATCTTAGGGCGATGAGAGTTTTCATGAGCAACAAGTGTCAGACTACAGTGTGCAGCTTCGTGGAACACAGCCAGAAGCTCTGCCATGGCCCCAAACAAATACACGGATACCGCTGATCACTTTGCATCCGCTCTTGTAAACGCGTTCCGTAAACTCAGATTCTGCGAACCGTTCCGCGAGTGAGCGCTTCCCCGGAGCTTCTGCTCGCACAGAAAAAACTTGTTTCTGCTTGTGCCCGTCAACTCCTACTTCTTCTAAAAAATCGTAGCTTAAATAGGAGCCCGGAGTTATTTGGGCATTTATTGATGCGATTGTTTAAAAACGTTTGGGCGTTCGGAAGCCTTGGAATGGAAGGACGCTCCAGGCGAGAGTCGGATTTCAAGGCAACCTGTAAGGACGCTCCGCACAAAAGCTCCATTCTTCTGCGTGCTTTTTGGCCTGCTGCACCACTTAAAGCTTCTGATTTTATGTAGTTCTGCTTCTCACTTCTAAGTTCTGGAGTTTTTTGGCAAAAACATGTTATTGCAGGATTTGTGGTATTTGCGCTTCCGGACTGGAATACTGTTCTTGCAGGGGGGGGTCTACTGTTCTAAGGTCAACATTCGCTCCAATACTAGTGTGGTGGTAAATGGAGCCGACAGTCAGCTTGATGGGGAAGGGCAAATTGTGCTGTTGGAGGAACAGGTGGTGGAAGGAACCAAGAAAACCATCCGAGTCAACATCGAGTTGGACTGAGGGGCACCGGTAGGTTTGGATCGCAGCCGAAAGGGCAGTCAGACGCCCTAGCATGAATGCAGGACGCAAAAAGAGACAACAAGGTTGAACAAACAACCTCAGAAACCCCAAGCTCTAACGCCTAAAATCCCAAGCCCTACTTAACCCCAAAATTTTGAAATCCTGGCCCAAATTCACCAATAAGATACGATTACTCATTACTATTATTATCTGTATTGATACGCTCAGCTTTATAACTACAATTACTATTCTTAGCATTAGTATTACTACTACCATTGTTATAGAGCACCCTCACTCGTTTGCTCAAAATCAAGCTCTGGCGTGAAGTATCCTTGCAATTTTTACTGCATGCAGGATCATTGAGACGTACAGTGATCTAGCAGGCCTGATGCTAGCAAAACTATTACTGCAGAGCTGCAGGACATGAAGCACTTCCAGGCGTAAGCAAGCTTGAAAGCTGCAAAACTGCACTGAACTGGGAACTTGCAGTGCTTATGCAAGCCTGAGAGCTAGCCGAAATGCTGCAGAACTGCTGGGAAGTAAAGACTTCCAGTGCTTCAGCAAGCCTGAAAGGTCGCTAAGCTGCTTCAAGGAACTACAAAGTTGCAATCTTCAAACAAGCCTCAAAGCTAGCAAAACCGCTGCACGACTGCAGCGGACTAAAATGTGCTGTAGCATCCAAATGTTCAGGCTGAAAGAACCTTCGTAACAACGACAGCAAACCTCCTCCTACACTCGAACATTTTAAAAATGCCAAAAGTTTGAAACAATCGATTTCCTGTGACAATTTTATCTAAAATCAAAGGATCCTCGGCTACTCTATAGACCCCATACGCAAAATTTCCGGCGTCTGCCATCTAGTCCTTTGAAACATATTCGAAACTTTCAAAAGCAATGCTGGCTTTGTTTGGCTGCTTCACTTCGAACCACAGCTCCAGGCAGCCCCCCGAGAATTTGAAACTGCTGCTGCTGTTGCTGCTGCTGGCCCCCTAAAGAGGTGGCAAAACCCCTTCTGCTTGCTCTTCCTCAGAACTGACCACCAAAACATCATCCATGGTGAATTAGTAGTTCCACGTGACTGCTGCGCCTTGACATGAATATGCAGGAAGTAGCAGCAGTGCTGCGAATGGGGAGTTGGGCTGGAGTTGAAGCATCAGAAAATACTGGTGCTGATTGAAATTACTACTAATACTCATGCCACTACTAATAACGGTACTCATGCTCATGCTAATACGAATACTCATACTACTCAAATTAATTACTACTAATACAATTTCGAATATTAAAATAAGAATTAACATTGATACCAATACAAGCACTCATAATGATATTAATACTGATACTTGCACTAATACTGGTATGAATAATGATACTCATACTATTACTGATATTAATATTCATACTACCAATACCCATATAAGAACTAATATTCATACTCATACTTATACTTATCCTCATACGGAATATTAGTCGATCTAAGACTGGTATTGAAATTAATACTTAAACAATCATGAGTACCTGGTACGAGTATTGAGTTTCATATACCCGTACTTATACTAATATGAAAGCTGATACTCAAATTCATACAAATACGAATACGAATAGTAACTCTCATACCAATGCTAAACCTAACACGCATTCGGTTAGAATAAGTACTAGAATATTGATACGAGTACGAATATGAATATCAACTCTCATATTACGTAATCCTCATCCTTACTCGAATACTAAAACTCATAGTAATAATAATATTGATCCTAATAATTACAACTAATGATACTCATGCTAATATGAAACCTACTATTGATGCTCATACTCATATCAGCTTTGGTACTGTTTTTTCACTATCAGTATTAGTACTCGTATTACGTAATACGAATATGAATACGAGGTTGAGCCTTGGCATGAGCATCATTTAGGAGGACCCCCCACCCTGTAATAGTGGTATAATGGGAATATAAGAGGACCCTAATACAATCCTTATTATCCATAATACTCACTATTACTGGGTGGGGGTCCACCTAAAGTATCATTGTTATTTTTTGTTTTGAGGATGCGCCTTGGCATTTTTTCTCACGTGCAGACCAAAAGTCTGTGCCAGAATCCTCAAGGTAATGGCGTGGATTCACAGCCACTAACCCTAAACCCTAAATCCTAAACCCTAAATCCTAACCCTAGACCCTGAACCTTGAACCCTACACCCTAGCAAGGTTAGGGTTTAGGATTTTTGGGGTGGGGGATTGGGGATTTAGGGTTTTCAGTGCTAGGACTTAGAGTTTTTAGGGTCAGGCTTTAGGATGTTTGGGGTTGGGGTTAAGGGTTTTTGGTGATTAGGTTGTAGGGTTTCTGGGATTAAGGTTTAAGATTTTCGGGGTAAGGGCTTAAGGTGTTGGAGTTGGAGACTGAAGGTTTTGTGGTTGGGGACTAGGATTTTTGAGATTAGGATTCAGGATGCTTAGGGATAGGATTTGGGGTCGTTAAGGTTAGGGTTTAGGGGCTTTTGGAGTTGGCGTTTGCAGATTTTGGGGGATTAGGATTTAGGATTTAGGGTTTTGGGGATGAGGGCCTAGGGGTTTCAGGGGTTTTTGCTAGGGCCGTGCGCGCGCTTTTCTAGTGCGACGCGCGCGCTTTGGCGCCAACTCAAGGTGATTCCGCAGAGCTCTTCATTTTAGCGTACTTAGAGTGAGGGCCTAGTACCCCTGCGGTGTGGTCAGACAATTCGGGGTGGTAGTGCTTTTGCACTACTTCAATCCAATATGGAAATTGCATGCCTCGTCTACGACCTTGGGAAAGAATTCTATCCTTGTGGCTGGTACAGAAAACAACATTATATAGGGGGCTCTCCGTGGAATGTGCGAACACTTCGTGCAACATTTTGTACTGGGCAACTCTCAGGGTTTCGGAAGGGCGTTGTGGCCTAAAAGCTTGCGTCCATACATCAAGGTTGGAGATTCTTGAGTAATATGAGGCTTTTATGCCGATAGCACGTCTGAGGAATCTGTAGTACTGTCCGTCAATTTTTTTGATTTGCTTATCCGTGAGGGTAAGGGCGTCTAGACCATAGGTTAAGCAGGGCACGAAGGTCGCTAGAAAGAGTT